TGAAGCCGCAGCTTCCTTCGGCACAGGGCTAGGCGAAGGGGTTGTTGTCGCAAGTTGCGGCGAACCGCCCGAACCCAAAAGCCGAGGAACAAAAATGGCGGCAATGACGCTTGCTCTAGGTTCAGGAACGATCCAAAGGCCCTGGTTTCAGGATGCGGTCGTCTCGTCACCGAGGGTCTTGGGATGGCGCTAGGGCTAGGGGAAGGGCCTCCATTGGAGCCACCTCCTTCGAGCCTGACTTTGCGAGCACCCTTGCAGATCTCCGGAATGTTCACCTGCGCGTCGGAAAAAAGCTCGTCATGAGCTTTGACACTGCATGAACGACCCGAAGCTACATGCCGCAACGACCCAAGCAAGCGTGCACCCTGAAGTCATGACATTTGTAGACATTGCACTGCAGCCTCGGACCTTGCATCGGGCCCCTCCCCAAATCCCATGCCAAAGCTGCCCTCTCCACGACGAACGTCGAAGGAGCGTTTGATTCTCGCAACCACTTCGCAAGGAGCAAAGGCCAAGTAACAACACGCAGGGAGCTTTCCCTCCTGTGAGCCTCGCGGTCTTTGTGGCCGATGCGGTTGTGATACTCCTGTCGCCGAAATGCTACAGCGAGGGCATCGCATCGTCATGCAATAGAAGCTGAGACTCGTGACAGGATGTCTGGAAAACCAGAGATCGAAGTGCCGCGATACAGGAACGAAGCTGTAACGACGTCCTATATATGTTCGGTAGCCCTGCTAGCCCAGAAACTCTCTCGCTCCACTTTGCATAGCAGCCAAGCGACTGCCGCAGCAGTCTTCTAAACCCCGGGTCCTCATGCACCAGCACATCATCGCAGTAGATGCGGCAAGTGATCTTCTCCGAGTGCTTGCTGAAGACAATTTCTGAGATGGGCATCTGGTGCAAATTGAAAACGAGGCTTGGTCGTTCTGGGTTTCTGTTGTCGAAGGAGAAAATGGGGGCATTCGCGGTTATAATCGGCAGACTCTCGATGGGTCGGCTAGGGCCCGGCGGACCTCGTGTTTCCAACTGCTGAAGCGAATGGAGGGTGTCGGGCTCGGGCTCGAGTTCAAAGGGCTCCAAAAGAGCTTTGACGCTTAGGGCTGCCGCTAAGGACTATATGACTACATGGCTACATGCAGGTGCACCTGCTTGCAGCGATCTTCACGGCTCGTGTGCCAGTTGCGAAGTTGCTTTTGGGCTCATAAAGAATCAAGGCATCGAGAAAGAGATGAAGGGTCCCGGCATGAAGCAAGAGTTGATAGGCACAGAGTTGCCGAACTCTCCTTTGCTTCTTGTGAGCGGAGCTGCAACATGCACTCTGAAGTATTCTGAAATCTTCTGTTCTGGACGTTCCCGAGAAGTGGCTGTCTGAAGACTCTAAGTGTGAAATGCCGGAGGGAGGGCATAACGATGGGGCCGTCAACGAGTGCCAGCAGATAGCCAAATCAGGAAGGTATCTGCCCGACAATCTGCAGCGTTCATTCATTCAGATGGGGCGTCGCGTTGAAACCAGAAACACTACTCCGATCCTTCTCGTCTCAGTTACAAAGAGGACAATGTGGAGAAGCCAAGGACCAAACGTTGGGGATACACACGGACAGAGCAAGAAGCGAAGGACACACGCCCTTAGCCGAACTAAGTTCCATCCTATTCATGCATGCCCTTCGAAGTGACTTTTCGCGAGTTGGCTTTATCTTGCAAAATCTTTGCAGTGTGTTTCGGGCAACAGTCTAGGCATCTAAATGCATAGAACTTTCTTGTCTCATATGGTGGTTGGTTGTCAGTCACACAGACTCATAGATGTATCCCACAATGCCGGCTGCAGCATGGTGTTGCAACTGGTCCCTTCATGAAGCACTATTGCTAATTGTCGGATATATTCTCTTAACAACACACATCCATCTACTAAAGTAGCTATTTACCACCGTCTATTTCCACAACCTGTTCGTACAATGGAAGGATAAACTAAGCACTTCGGTGACTCCGTCAGGATCTGCTACGTGCTCCATATCTTTATGCGCTGGATGAATGCAGCGAGACAAATGGGACACGAAGTTAGCGACTTCTTGAAGGTCAAGTGAAGCACAGTTAAACAGACTAGAAACTGGTGACGCAACTGTGTTCTGACCTGACCTGGTATCATGGTACATCGGCGGTCAGGTGCCAGGCCCCACTCATGACACAATCATTTCTATTAGAACATGCGATCCTAATGCTCCCGATTCCCAGACCGTCCGCCGTCCAACGGTATTCGTGGTGGCTTTGTGAAGCATCAGTTCAGGAAATGCTGGTTCTCAGTTTTTATCTGACTTAAGCTTTCCATCTGCACTTGAAAATGCTTTGCCTGCCGGCCGAGATCCATTTCGGGAAGCGTGTGGAGGGTCTGTGCACCATGCAAGACAAATCAAGTACGGTAGTGGGTAGTACAGAATATCCGGTTTGCACACTCTCTTTCTGCACATGGCGCATTGAAGCTGCAAATATGCCATTGGCTTATCTTCTACACCGCCCACATGCAAGCAACACGGAGCCTCTGCATGGACAGCGAAGCTAGAACAAGAGTCACAGTTGTTTGCATCGTCACCGGTAGAACTTTCGCATATTGCATGCGTACCGAGTTCTTGACACAAATCATGTGCCACGATGTGCCAGGGGCAAGGGTATGGATGAAACCAAACTCAAGAGATGCAGCTTGGCCCGTGGTTGTCCAATAGGATTTTCAGACTTTCAGCTGTGGAACCGCAGCATGTACACACATATCATATATTGCACAACGTATTGCTAGTTTTGCTCATGCTTGCAGGTCAACGGCTTGCTCAGGCTCAGCCAGATAAACTGAGCTGTATGCATGTCTACCAAATCGATGCTGGGTGCTGGAGCAGTGACTGCATCAAGTGGCAGTCAAACATAAGCGTCCAAACTGAGCATGTTGCTTTGTTTTAGAATGTTCGGCTGAGTGTCTGGGGAAGACCGCAGACCTCATCTCAAGTCCCACCCGATTCGCAAAATAATCTGCCAAGTATTGCCATGCGGCTGCCGCTCTTCAGCGTGCCGTGCTGTCGGAAGTCTGCGGTCACCGTGTCCAGGGCCTTCTAGACGGGTGCGTCTCGGGTTGATGCCGGATCTGTGCAAAATGTGCAGATGCAGTTCTCTGGCATTTCTTGATGGGCATGTCTTTTTCTTGACCCCCTATGTCTTTTTTTTGACCCCCGATCGTTTTATTGACCCCTGAACATCTGCATTCTGACCCCTTAACCACTTCTTTCAGACCCCCGTATCTTTGGTTTGACCCCCACTGTCTTGATTTTGACCCTCCTGTAGCCAGGCAGGCCAGAGCCTAAACAAATAAGCCCCCCACCACGAGCTACAATATCTGGAGAATTTCACCTCTCCTTACACAAAACTGATTACAAGACCTTGCTAAGCACCCGGTGGGTTGCGCGCAGCCTCCTGTTCCAGTCAATCGAATGGGTTCGCAGGATTCGCACAGGTTCGCACGCCTGGATGTGCATGGCTGGTGATTCACACCATAGGCTGCCGCGGCTTTTCGCAGTTCCGGCACGCGCAACCCCCCTGTTCCATCTGCAAGCACAGTGCTCGAACTACGGATGGTGGGGGTTGCCGGGTAGACTGCTTCTGCCAGGAAGTCTGCGTAGCCGATGCCCAGCTCATCCGCCAGTTGGCCAGCTACCATCTCCGACTCCTCTAGCCGCAGGGAGGCCAACCTCTCGCCACAGGGATCAGAACTCTCCCTAAAAGGTTAGGGGGCTACAGCCCGGCAGATGCCGGTGGGGGCAGGACTGGACCCACCGGACTGCTCGCCACTGTCGCCAACGGACTAGCACCGACAACGGTCTGCGCACTAGCCTGTGTCCTTTCCGAGCTCGGGGAAGTTATCCTAGTAGCCGGGGAGCGCGGGGAAGCCATTTCGCCTGGCTCCTAGCCACGTTCCCTTTCCTATTTCCCCCATACTTCAAAATTACCCCTTCAAGAAAGGGACTTTATCCAGAATGGCCACGGAAATGTACAAGGTTCCTCGCCATTCCAAGTCACGCTATCCCTGTCTTGCAGTCTGCCAACTAGCCGACAAGAACAATAGATAGCAATAGAAACTTCGCTCCTATCCGAAACACCTGCGATGGTTTCGGTGGGAAGATTATCGGGCTAGCACACATAGTCGTAACTCGTACCTCGTCACGAGGTACTTTCTGCGGGGCAGAGCCCCTTCCCCCTTTGCCTCAAAAGCTTCAGAAGGACTGCTCACAATCCGGGTTGGGATGCGCAGCCTCTTTTTCCAAGAACAATCGAACGGGTTCGCATATATATATATATATATATATAGGTTGGCGCGGCTTCGCAGTTTCCGGCGGCCGGGCGCATCCTCCCTGTAAATTTTCATTTGCAAGCACAATGCTCGGGGGTCCCTTCGCGTTCCTTCCGAGTGGTTCCTCGCCATTCCAAGTCACGCTATCCCTGTCTAGCAGTCTGCCAACTAGCCGACAAGAACAGTAGATAGCAATAGAAACTTCGCTCCTATCCGAAACACCTGCGATGGTTTCGGTGGGAAGATTATCGGGCTAGCACACATAGTCGTAACTCGTACCTCGTCACTCCGAGTTGACATGGGGGGGCCTTGCGAACGTGGGCTCTAGGAAAAGCTTCGTTCACGACCTCTAGCGCATAATCGCAGGAACAGACTAGAGGAGCAGAAGAAGCAGAGGCAAGAACCGCCTCCCTATTTTCAACCAAATATTCGCCTGGACTCTTGGAGATGCTTTGTTAAGACCTCTAGCACATAAACTGCAGGGAAGCAAACCAGAGGAGCAGGAGAAGCACAGGCACAGAAGACCACGGCAAGAGCCGGCAGAGAAGCAAGGGTCCAGGGACAAGGGAGTACAGGTACACCGACCCAACTAATTACTCCTTGGCCAACCCTTAAAATAATATGCCCCTGGTTCGAGGTCACTCAACATCTCTTTCGCGCGCAGCTCGAGTTCGAACTAGTGGCTTTGTCCGCGTCCGCGAGCTCTCTTGCCCTGCACGCGACCTCTCTTGGCTTGGTTCGGCCTTGCTTGAAGCTCGGCTTTCCGCTTGCGGCCCTTTGGGCGTCTCATGGGAATGGCATTGAGATTAACACTTCCCGTCTTGTCCAGCGCTTGAACATAGATGCAGTGCTCGCACTGCGCGTGCATGAGGAAGGTGTAGCACGTGCACAGCGTGCTGGGGGCTGCTGTCTGGGCTGTCCGCCATTGCCTCGGCCACCATTGTCGACCCAGGTGGCCATCCACGACAACGGCATGCTTGCAGAACAAATCCTGCCACAGCCCAAGATCCAGGGTTTCCTCTGCGCTCTTGCCTTTGATAAGTCCACATACCCGTAGTTTCTTGGCAAGCTGTTGGCCAGAAAGAAGCAAAAGGTCGACGAGAAGCTGAGCACGTTCAGGATCGATGACGGCATCCGCAGGCATCGCGTCGCCCACCTTTGTTGACCGCATCACGTAGAACACGGTGGTCTCTTGGCCTCCTCGGCTTTCGGCGGCGCTCGTTCCCCGGACGACCTTAACATAGTTGCATTTGCCATCCAGCTTGGTACTGCGCCCGTGCCAGAAGTCCACTGCCGTGGACCGGCCCTCGGTGCGCAGCTTTTGACTGTTCAGCAGGTCCTGGGCGGGTTCTGATGGCCAGCTTCCGAACTTGCGTGCTTGTCCGTACTGGAATTTGTCAGCCCATTCATCTTTGTACAGGTTCGACATGACCCTGAAAATGTCCACAGGGTTCGCGCGCGTCTTGGTTTTGACCAACGCCTGCCACCATGAGTGGAAGCTTTCGATGGTCTGGCTTCCGCTGCCAGACCCTGGATATGTCATCTGAATGCCCGACCAGAAGCCTGCGAAGACAAAGCTCGGCTTGCCTGGCTGGCGATCTCTAGATTGCGCTCGAGGCTCAGTGACTTCGTCGAAGTACGTCTTCATCAGATACTCTACAGCTGCGCCTTGGCCCACGCGTCGCAACCATGGAAAGGCGATCCGCCATGCTGCATCGAACAGGTCAAGAGTCGGCAGCAGACGAGTACAGCTTATCAGACGATTGATTAAGTCAAACGCTGCTTTCTTGTCGCCACTCACTTCGCCAGAGTGGTCCTGCAGGGGCTGCGCATGCACCTGTAGAGTTGAGTGCGACGCACGCCGCATATGGGCGTAGTCGTCGCAGGGGCGGGCCGACGGAAAAACCTTTCGCCGTGCTATATCTATGCCCTTCGAGAAGTCTTTATGCACCTGCACAACTTGTCTTCGCAGGTTGAGTCCAGCATGCGACTCTGCAAGCTCTGCCGCTTTCTCAAAGACTTGTGTCATGTTCTCTGCGGTCTCTTCGTTCACAAGTGCCTGCAGAAATGGTTCTTGGGTGCCTGTGTAAGCATCCACATGACTCTTGCGGCCAGGACCTGCCCACGTGCTCGACATGGACGAATTGGGAACCAGAAAGGAAACTGTCACGACACTGTACTGGTTCGCCAGGAGCTTCTGCTTGCCATCCACTACCAGTTTGAGGTTATGATTTTGGCCATGTTTTGCCCGCTCCAGCATCCCGCGAGATGTCCAAATCACGCACACCCGCTGCTCGCTGACGTGGAAATCTGGCAAAACAACTAGCTGATCCAGGGGAAGTTTTTCCCAGGGGACTGAGTCATCCCTGGTGAATTCTCGCGCGGCTGCTTCGAGTGCATGTATGGGCACTCCGGTCTGTTGGCCACGCTTTCCTGCGTTACTTTGGGACTTTGCCCTGTCCACGAATTGCGCCAATTGCCGAGGGGTGCAGCGCACTGCTAGCCCTGCTCTTCTGAAGCATGAGCGGATGCTCCGCGAACTGATGTCTGACTTGTCTGGAAAGCTTTGCTGCAGCACATACTCTTCTGCAACATTCCACAATGCTCCACCAGACGGCTTTGCTAATTCGCCATGCTTCCCGCGCGCTCGAACCGTAAGCAGGGTCTCCTTATCTGTGCGATGCACTTGGGCAACAACTTGTCTTGTGCAGCCAATGCAACTCGCAGCTGCGCACTCTGCTCTCAGACTGCGGCCAGTTCCCGTCGTGCCGCGATCTTTCATAACGTACACACCAGGATCCTGCAGGCGACCGAGGACGCGCTCCACCTCCTGCCGGAGGTCAATGTACGAATGTACCAATCCCGCAGGTCTGCCATGAAAAAGCTCCAACCACTCGGCGTTTTCCAGGCATGGCTCCACTTGTTCAGCCACCGTCTCCGGCTGCCGCTGCGCGTGGGCAATGTCTGCACTATCTTGTTTCACCAGACTGCGATCTGGCTGCGCCGCCGTCTCCGGCTGCGGCGTACCCGTATTCGTATAGTCCTTCCGTTGTCGCAGCTTGGGCTTGTCTGTGGCCGCCACAGCAGCCACCGGAACAACTTTCTCGTCATGGACAACTTGCTGCTCTGCCGCTGCCGGACTTGATATGGTTGCTCCGCGCATAGGGAGTTGAAAGTACCACGAAGGTACTCGGGCTTCCTGAATGAAGTTACGAGCAGCTTTGGAGAGCTGTCCTAGCGGGAACTTTTCGAAGATGACATCTTCGCACTCGTCCAAGGCTGCTTCTTGCCGCCCGAGCCCATGCAGCTCCAGAACATGACATGCGTCTTCGTAAGCCTGCAACGCAACACAAGAACGCTCTGGTTCCTCATGCGTCACGTCTCGCAAAGGTGCTCCCAGCCGTGTACACCAGGATCGCCGCCAGGATGTGCCTGGAAAGCATTGTAGAAGCTGCGTCGCCAGCACGACTGCCTCCGATCGGGATATTTCACGGGCGACTCACTTACAAACAGACAGACAGGCAATCAGACAAAGAGATAGAAGAGAGAACACAACAACAAACAAGCAACCACACGCTCGCACTCTCACACTCACACACAACCACAAACGCACACACACACACACACACCCACACTCAACCACAACCGACCGACGGACCAAGCAACAAACCAAACCATCCACAGGCATGCTGGCATGTTGTGCCTGGCCTGGTCTCTAGCTGCGGGGAAACTTGGAATGCGTTTGTCTTGAAGGCGGCGTGTTTCTGTGTCCAAGACTGCGAGGCCGAACAAATAACGCTCCTGGTAGAAGACCATGGCTTGTTTCAGATTGCCATCAGACACACGACCGGACCACTTAGGGCAAGTCATCTGCTGGCCCGCTGCGTGAAGCCACACCTGCTCCAGCAAAGTAGCAAGTAGTCCTGCGCAGCTGATCCAATACACGCTCTTGTTCAGGCCACTGGCAAAAACCTCACCGAAGGTTGTTGTTCTCGTTGCATCGAAAGCAGCGAGCCGGTACTTGAAGAACTGCTCCCGTAGTGGACCATCTATTGTCCATGTCCGCTGAGGCGAGTCCTCGTGCATGGCAGCTTTCGGCCCGAGATGCTGGAGGACGAGTTCAAAGATTCGCTGCAGGAGCGGCGCCACGACGGTTGCCTCGAATTGCTGCCAGCGCGGCTGACCAGGCTGTCGAATAGCCCCGAAAGAGAAGACGAACCTCTGAGCTAGGCCAATGCTGGACCGCAGTTCACCCTGCGCCCACCTAGGTTGCCGCAGAATGCCGGCTGCACACGCATGGGCCCGCACATTGAGTGCAATCCCTATAAAGGAATCAGCGAAAAGCACTATACACAACTCTAGTATAGATGGCCAAGATACCAGTTTCGAAAGACTGACAGCTGCTGAAACAGTGCGATGGTGACGTTTGTGGACCCACACTGCGACGTCTTGCTGGCAGCCACTTGCGCTGTCTTGCGATCCTTCCGGTCGAAAACAGTCTCCCATGTCACACCTCCTCCTTGCGCAGAGTTCAGTAAACGTTGTAAATTTATGTGGGTGTTCTGGGTCCATGTGCCGCTGCTTGGCCAAGCCGGACACAGGATTGGCCCCCCTTCGCCGGCGGCTATGACGCCGTACCCATCTGTGTCTTTCAGCTTCGCTATAGCTGCAGCGTGGGTCATTGGCTCGACAACGTGAAAGGCGTCGGCCTCACTGCCCGGCGCGAAGTGTGGCAACTTGGCCATGGCGGCCTGCAACATCTGCAACATTGGCTCCAGCGCAGGCGTTTTCCCTCCTCCTGGCTGCGCCGTGCCACAGCTCCAATACCTGCTGCGGGATCGGAAACCAGCAAGGTCCACTCCGATGTCCTTGTGTAAGATGCTGGTCAGCAAACTTGAAAAAGCATCGTGGTAGAACACCGAAGGCAAGCCCGTGGTGCGACTCCAGGCCTCGAACAAGACAGCCATAGGATAAAACTGACATCGCCACAACGGATACTGCAAACGTACGGCTTCTTCGGAAGACAGCCTGTCTGTCTCGTAGGCTCGCAGAAGCTGCGGCAGCGTGCACTGAATTTCTTCAAAGGAACAACTGGCCACCTCGGGGCTCTGAGCCCGCAAGGCTGCCAGAACGGGTAAGACGTCCTCGCCTTTCTCAAAAGCTTCCAACAAGTTCTCCACTGCACTTTCGAAGCTTCTAGAGCCTTCGTCAATGCGAGAATTCGCAGTCAGCGTACTCTCTCGCGACATCGAGGCTGCACCTTTCGCACCAATCGCTGCAGTGGCTTGCGCACATGTCTCTTGCTGGCTCGGCGCTGAGCCGCCAAATTGCCTGGAGTCCGTTGGGCTTAAGCACAAACGGTCAAAGTGGCTGCGAACGGGACCAGACGCGTCCGCGCCGCGCAGGACTATCGCCTGGAAATCGGTGTGTACGAGGGCCTCCACAACTGCTTCGACTACAAAGCTGCCTGGCGCCACTTCTCTCGTGATAAGGATATTGAGCCCTCGCTGGTGGCAAATCAACTGAATTTCGTCAACGCTAAAAAAGTACTCGCCGCACTGCACGGCAGCAAGATATGCTTCCACACCGAACTGATAGAAGTCTGAGGGCTCGATGTGCTGAGGCGCTTCAGCAGACTGAAAGATTTCCACAGCCTCGAGCAACTTGCTGCACAACTCCGTCTCCTTGTCGCAGCGCTGCAGCGAGGACGTGACGGCTTCGAGGCTCCGACCAGTCAAAACGGCCACTCGTAATGCATCAAAACATGGCTCCGGACTGCAGATGGCATCAATCTTCGTCTCTGGGCTTCCTGCTGGTAGTTCTTGATCTGAACCCTTAGCGACAGGCCGCCCGGCACGCATCTCATAACATCTCTCCTGGCCTTCTTCCTCCAAATACCCGATGCTGGCACAGAACGCATGCAGGGTCGGCTTTGATACGTTACAGAAGAAGGCACGACAAGCCATTTCCAGCTGTCCGTGTCGAGCCCTTCCCTCGGACTTCACTTGCTCCTCTCGTCTTGCGCAGGCCTGCGCTTCTTCTGCCTGATCTGGATAATTTTGGGCAAAGACTTGCCAGAAGTGCCTGCTCTCTGCAGAAGCCAGAGACCAGTCTTGTGCAACTTCGGCTTTTGCGGCAGGCAGGGCAAGCTCTGTCCAAAGACTCGAGCGTACTGGCACGGCTAGGTCTTGACTATCGTTGAGTGCATCACGCAGCGCGTCCGCAGCCAGCCGTCGAGCATGATCACACACGAGCACACCTCCCTCCACCCTGTCTCCAAAGGTTGCATGTATGCCACAGGCACCATCTCCTCTGGCACGCTGCAACTGACAATCCTGCTGCAACCACTGTTGAGCTCGCTGGGGCAGTGCAATGTCGGAGCTGACGCGACCACCGCCAGTCAGGACTGTCAAAGGCTTTGCCACGTCTGTTTGTGGAATCTGCGGCCCGGGAGGCAACATGTCTCCCTGGACTCGAACCCACTGTTGCGGTCCACGTGGGCGATTGAAAAGGACTGGCACTGTGTAACGCACCGGACACTCCAGGACCCATGCATATGCCGTTTTATAGGACAACGCAGCCTGGTCTTCGATGCAGTGTTTGGGCATGTTGTGCTCCGCCCAGAGAAAGTGTTCCTCCCGCCCGCAACGCAGCCACTCGTGACCATTCCAAGAACCTACAGGAAAGCTGTCCGTGATGCTTACCTGACCGCTGATACTGGATGTTCCTGTCACTATGATGCCAACCGGACCACGTTTCTTGGTCGTCTCTCCACGGATTTCCCAGGTTTTCTGGCCGCTAAAAATCATTTCGGCCCACTTGGATTTGATGATGAATGCGGAGGAAAGGGAAGAAGGCGACGCACCGCCGAGTCGGTCTTGATCATGTCGTAGATCCACCACTCGGTGGAGGGTCGTTTCCGGCAACGAACAAATTCTCTCCATCAGCGCGCAGGACAGTCTAGCTTCATAGTGCCCACAGGTCCAGACAACCAGACTTTCGAAGATATTGAAAGCCGAGTGAATGCCGCGATGGCACATGATGTAGCGCCCCCAAACGCTGGACTGCGCGGCCGGCCAAGATGCCAGCACGGCACGTGTTTGTGCCAAGTGAAAATTGAAGGCGTCGACAGACTGCATGCATCCGTACTGCACGGACACGCTGACACCGAGCCGAGCTAGGCCTTCCTTCAGGGATGCTTTTGGCCACACGTATGCATAAAGGTGCAGGATGATGTCTGCACACGGAGCCATCAGTACATTCTCATCCTGATTGACTTGCGCCAACACTGACTTCATGTGGAGCACAGGCCTTTCAGGCCATGGTGTCATGCTAACGGCGCTTGGCAAAGCAAACACTTCTGCACGTACCTCTGCAGGGAGTGAAGACAGTGCTCTCTGTGCGTACCATGCTGGCTCGCTCATCCCATGTGACTGCAAGAATTGCAAGAAAACATGGGCCGCCTGCGTGGGAGTCACGACATAACAGTGCAACCGGCCAACATCAGTTCCACATCTGCCTGAGTCAGGATACCAGGAAGGGCCGCTGGCCATGAATTGGTCTTCCCAGCCCGTCGAGGAAGGTGTTCGAATGCCTGCTTCACTCTGCACAGCGTCTGACGTGCCAGACAAAAACATGTCCGCAGCCTCCTCTGCCCCCGCAGCTCCTCCGCAACAATCTGCATTGATCCACGGCCGGCCATCGAGCACATTGGAGAAGTCAAGCATATGCCCATCAGCCAGCTCCAACGTCATCGATATGGTCATGCCACGCAATGCGTGTACGAAAGCACGGCAGTCGACGAAACAATCCGGCACCACTGCAAGCACTGGTCGTACCATCTTGTCCAAGCCACACTCCCTCTCACACCCCCACTCTCGATAAGCTGCGTGGTTGTTGAGCGTGCACGTCACAGAGTCCAGCGTGCGGACTACACGCACGTCCAACATCGAGCCCAGGCATATCTCTGCAGCAGGATCTAAGATGACGTCATAGAAGTTCCGGCGGCTGCTGTCATAGAGAGACTGATGGACACACCTGCCGGAAGCAATGTCTACAGACACGCCCCAGGTTCGCATCTGCGTGCGTTGGAGGCCTCGCTGGCCTTGCAGAGTTTTGCCGACTAGAGAGGCGAAGGCCATCTCCGTAAAGCCGACAAACAAGGTCATCGCCCTCAGACGTCGGATCAAGTCCGGCGAACAGACCTGCAGGCACTGAATAGCATGGGGCGATCCAAGACACACCAAGATATTTTCATCCATCCACAAATCTGCCGACGTCACGCCGTCATACTCAAAGAATCGCATTGCGTTCAGAGGGAGTTTCGAGAGGGCTCTGCACGTTGGCCTTGCATAGTGGATAGCAGCTGCCCAAGCCCGATCTCCGAATGTTTCCAGGTCCGACTCTGTCTCAATAGCGAAGAATGGTCGCATGCTGCGAGAGTGACATGGGTAGGCCACGTGATCCGGCAGCTGGCAGATACCGAACAAGCGGGAGTCCAGGTACAGGCGCATCTCAAGAGCACAGAAAGTCACACAGATGCACCTCGTCTCACCCACCAGGGACGGATGCCGTGTCAATGCCCCAACGGCTTGTCGGACGTTGCGGGCCATTCCAATGAAGCCATTGGGCAACTCGCCACACTTGACTGGCACATGCAAATACCAGTGCTCTCCACTGGTCAAGGGCTGGCGACTGCAGACTACTTGGAGAACTTCGGCTGGATCTTCAAAGCACGTAAATCCAACGAAGAAGCCTGCGTCCGGCTGCAAGTGTCGCTGTCTCCGAGATGCGCCGGCACCAGGTGACACCATCGCCCAAAACTCTCGCGGTTGCTGCACCAGGAAGGATGCTGCAGCACCGTGATCTGCTGCTGCCACCCAGACCCGCTGGCTTCGTCTCGAAGCCGTGTCGCGACGAGAACTGTGCCGAAGCCGTGCCACCACATCGCCACGGGTAGCTGGCGCACCAGATGGCCACAGGCAGCGTAGGATATTTGACGTGCACAGGTGTGCACAGGAACATGGTTGCAGAAGCAGCAGCGACGAGCGCCAGAAGCTTGGCCGCTGCAGAAGCTCTGCAACGCCACGATTAATGCTTGCCAGAGCTGCCACTTCCCCAAGCGAAGCAGCAAACTGCAGCACACCTCTGAAAGCCCCATCATCTGCTAACGGCCACGTCCTGGAACCGCCAGAGAATTCTTGCTGGAAGTCCCAGGACGCGCTTGACGGCTCCGATGCCTGCTGCAAACGGTAGACTTGCTCGAAATTCAAGGCCTCCAGCTGCCAAGTGTCCACTGTCTGTCCATCTCCACGCCGACAAGTGGTGTAGAGACACGCTGCGCCGTCCCGGAAGACTTCTGCTCCGACAAAGTGGCATGCCTTGTACGCTATGTACTTGCCAGGAACCCACTTGCTGCTCCCGACAGGCACGAGCTCCTGCCTTCACATGTCACACAAGACCAACAATCTCGACGACACTACCACGCACAAACAAACCTTCATCTTACTGCCTCTGTTCCTTAATTTACCCGGTTCTCACAGCCTCCACGGTCGCAGCATTTCGTTCCCGTCTTGGAGAGCCCGAAACGGGCCGTGAGCCGTGTACGCGAGCTTGACGCCGAGGCTTCGCAGAGCATCGACCAAACAGCAGTCGCGAAACCAGACCACCCCCGAGTCTCGCTTTAGGCGGCTGCTCCTCTTCTGCAATGGCATCTGCCGCCGGAGCTTCGCAATATTGCGGCCTGCTGAAAACTGGCACGCAAAAACAATGCGCATTGAAAGCATGGATATCACAGCATGCAGCACGCACTCCCCAAACAGCGACAGGATGCTACGGTCGTGGAGTCCTCGGCGAGCGAAGCCCCTGTACCAGGCAGGGCGACAGATCGCGCTCCAGGTGCGGGTATCCTGCCAACGTCTCAGCACGGCATGTATACATTTATGTTTAGCTGCTGCGGGGCACACGCATGTATATCCTGCACGACCGGCACGTGCTTCGTGCTGCAGAGGCGTGCGAATATGCTCTTCACCAAATCGTCACCACCTTCCATAGTGTGCCACGATTGAGAGCCGAAGAGTGTGTCTTTAACTGCAGATGTGACACAGAACTTCGTGTCGTCAGAGCTGAAGATGCACTGCTTCTTGCAGAAGCCAGTCGATGTCCCTTGCTTGGAAACATCAGCGAGAGAAAGAGAGAGATGCACTGCTTCTTGCAGAAGCCAGTCGATGTGCCTTGCTTGGAAACATCAGAGAGTGTGGCTTCTATCAAAAATTAAGTGACGAGCATTCGTAGTTCGCATTCCAGCTTTCCACATAGTCGAGAAAGCTTTTCTCACACCTCTGTCGTGTCCCCACCACAAAAGAAGCCCTTCCACGATGGTGTGGGTCTTTACAACATGCTTTTCTGATCCTGAGAACGAGACGACTCGGCTGCGGCACGCCTGCTTCGAAGTACAGTGATTGGAAGCCATGTGCAAGAGTCTCAAAAGGCCCAGGACTCTTGCTCCAGTTGGATGAGCTTGTCCATGTTCGCTGTGGGCTGCCGCGGAATCCTCAGAAGTAGATTTCATTTCAGCAGAGCATGGACTCAAGCTCTATAAGACAGCGATTATGCGCCCATAGCACCGGACAAGAACTGGCGCCAGTGCAGTTTGGCCGTTCTCCTAAGTACAGTTT